CCCTCCCCCCCCCCCCCTCCCCCCCCCCCCCCCCCCCCCCCCTCCTTCGATAAGGTGGAAGATTGGGAAGGGGGCATGTGGCAGGGGGAAACGTGGGTGGAGGGCAGCGGCGATGGTGGGCGTGCAACAGCAGGCTGTCATATGCAACAAATTTTGCGACGGCCAGTTCCCTAGAGTTCATCTGGTACGACCAGTAGGGCCATCCAAGATCAGCCTGCGATAGTGCACACAACGACGCAGATTCGTGGCCTGTCAGCAAAAATTCAGATCGACCATGAATCTGGGACATCTGCTGAAGGATGGCCGAGTTTTGTGGTCAGTCACCCGAATATTGAAATCAGCTGGCATTCTGGATCAGGTGCGCGTGAACGGCCCAGATCACTGCCTGATCGTACTTTTTGGTGACCAGTTGGCAATCTGCGCTGTCCCAGCATGCGAACAGTCAACGGCCCAGAGGGGAGACAAGCAACTGATGATGTGCACCACAGCACCAACAAGATAAGAGGCCTCAACACGAACTGGTTCTACCACTGGCTGGCTGCCCTCCTATCAAATTCCCTTATAACAAAGAAGCAAACACACACACACACACACACACACACACACACACACACACACACACACACACACACACACACATTTTCAGAAAATGTGACAAATTATACGTTCAAAGTTCAAACGCTCGAGTATATTAATTCAAGTTCACATCTTCAGAAGCTCAGACCTTTCAGGCCATTGTAGCTCTGGGGCCACAGCTTTCCATTTGATGACAATCGGGACACAGCACCTTAGGCCAAGTAGCCACCAACAGAAGAGAGTATAAGAATCACTATAGCACACCTCTGGCAGCATGCGGTAAGTTGCCGTTGCAACAGGAGACCACTTAGCATGTGTCTTCCCCATCCCTTTGACGGCATGTGCCTCCAATTCGATTTCCTGCATTCATTCTCGTGCCCATCCACACAGACAAACAATTACAAGTTAGTCGCTATCGAGCAAGCATCTGGTGCAGCTCACATTTACCATTTCTTCCTTGTGTTTCACGTCGTGGATCTTCTTCGTCCGTTTTTTTCCTTTCTCGAGCCTTCTGCTTTGTTCCATCCGTGTTTCCGTTGCCATGCATCCCATCCCATGCCACCTTGGATGTAGTTGCGTTTCAACCAATGCTGTGTGCATCTTCTGAGAGAAAAAGAACACCCCCCACATGTCTGTATGTGAGATTGAAGACTCCTTGGCTGGAAGTTGCGCTATGTAGCATGTCCTACATAATAGAACTACAAGCATGCTTATTCTCTCGCATCCCTACCAGCTGCTTTCCTTGTATTGTCACATTGTTCCGTTTGTCATGCATTGTGTGCACAAGCTGCTCGCTCACAAAAGTTCGTTTACAACTCCGTCATCATCCAGGTTGCCCAGGTCGCATATCATTTTGCCTTGTGCCTTCTGTGTATTAATTACAAACATTTCGTCCAGATTCCCGACACTGCATCAGCTCTCGCAAGCCCGCAAAATGATAGGTATTTAAAAATTAATAATAAGAAAACTGATAGGTATTGGCTCTCAATCACGATCACAAATATTGCTGCTTATGTGCACATTGAAAACACCAGCGACAGCGCATTATCACGGACAAAAGAGAATTCAGGTGGACATGCCAATGTTTCTGTTTCGTCTCAGCGTTCGCTAGGGGCATACTCACGATCGGACTTCCCACAAAGTGTCTGCTGCCCTCAGTTACTGCCACAAGTTTAGTTTTTTACCACAAAGTTTAGTTTTAAGGGTTTGGGCTCTTTCGAAGTTCTGTTACAGAAGCTGCGTTCTTCACCCTAAGCCACTCTGTGGGGTCTGAATCACTATACAAAAGGCCTTACTTGGTGGGGTACCGATCTGGAGTCATTTAGGCCTTGGAGCATATCAGGCCTCTACTGGGAATACACCACACCACGCCTGACATCCATACCCACGAAGAAAAAGCAAGAGGCAAAGTCTTCCCCATGCACATCTTAGCCATCCAATCCTCGATCAACGGTCCTGATGCACTTTGGTTGCATCGCTGCCCTTCGCAGTCACTCTTTTCCGTCACGCTGCTTTCTCCAGCCTTTCTCTGGACACTTCTGGGCAGTGCCTTGGCCCATGAAAGGATATTTCCAGGGTCTGCCCGATTGACTCGTCCACACCATAACTCTCTGGCTCAACCGTTGAAGCATTCAGCACTGCTCTTCCAGTGGCTGGCTGCCACAGCAATGGAAGATCAAGAGCCTGGCAGCCACAGCCAGGCAGCCAGGAAGGGGAGGAGGGACCACAGCTATTATTGCTTCGGTTCGCGAGTGGAGGCAAGAACAGCACAGTCTGAGATACTTGGTGTTAGGCGAAGTCATGAGTCATCTCGGGGTGAAGAGAACTGGCAGCCATATCCCCTATGCTGTGTTGATCTCCCTGGTCCCATGAACAGCATGGCCAAGGCCCAGTTGGCTTACATCCGTGGCGTTCACCCTAGAAAGCCTTTCTGATATGCAGCCATTATCTTCGATCTTTGGGGCGATGATATTCTATCTTTGAATGCTTTTTCTCAGGGAGAGGGCATTGGCAAAAGTTTTGCAGCAGAGAAGAGTGAGCATGGCAAAAAAGGTGGCATTAGCTCTTTTCCCTTGGACAGGCTACCTGGCCTTACGCAATCACTTTGCTACATTGAAACACTAAACCACCACCACTGTTTCCGATACTCTCCAAGTTATGCGGTTGCCCACAGGGCCTTTCGAGGATAATCAGGTAGTAGTGAGTGCCCCAGCTGCCGCCAGGAGTGGCTGAAAAGAAAGATAAACTGTGCCTGCCGCCCACAGTTTGTTTTCTTCCACCCACCACTTTCTATCAAGGCTACTCAAAAGTTTGGCACGTCCCGCCTCAGGCAAATGCGAGGGCCAACAAGATAGGTTTGGCGAGGGTCAACAAGATAGGTTTGGCGTCAATGGTAGCCTCAACGATGCAATAAGGCTGCACTATCTTTGAGAAAACACCTTTAAAAATAACAACGGGAAAAGACACATGAGAGAGAACACATGGGATAAAGAACTCCAGCACCAAAGAAAGAAAAGAAAAGAAGAAAAGACAAGCAGCTGGCAGGCATATCAGCAACTACTCCTGGAAACACTCAATTGCTTTGCACTGTGATAGGAGACAAAGCGCTTTTTCTGCACAAACCTGCCCCGGTCTCAATTTGGCGAGTATGATGTCAGAATAGAATGGTTGAATGGGATCATCCGCGAACTTCTCTTCCTGTGATGCAGAAAATGCCGTAAACTTCTGTTTTTGTTCCGGTGGATACTCACTCCCTTTCGGCAACCACTTCAACTCACTAGAATACACTGCCCTCCACAACACCAAAACCAGAAAAAGCAGATTCCACATCATACAGCAATTTCAGTGACCGGAAAAACTGAGAAACAAGCAACCAATACAGCAATTTCAGTGACCGGGAAAACTCGTACAAGCAACCAATATTCAATACCTGTGACCCAGATGGCACACGATATGTCTGAGCATGTGATCTTTGCCCAAACTCTACAATAACACGAATAATTCAAACACATTTGCAAAACAATCGTGAGTGGCACTGAACAGAACTGAAGAACAGCGATTCATTTCACATCAGACGGTGATTTCGGTAACCAGTGAGCGGCGACAAGCAGCCAATCACTGACATTTTTGTGACCCAGACGGCAGCTGAATTTTCCCAATAGCATGTGGTCACCATCCGACGTCTGAAAATGTCACGAAACAACTCATATATTAGCGTAAACAATTCGCATTAGCGTCAAGGAAAGGGAAAACCTAAAGAACCGGATCAGGGAACAACCGTAACAAGCCAGTTATTAACTTATTGTTGAAATCTTAAAGCCAGAAGCACCTACCCCACTTATCCATCCTGGTGCATGCTATCTTCCAACTTCCAGACTTAGAAGAAGTTACCATTCCTTCTTCGACCAATTATGTTCACGGCCCATGGTCTCCACAATTCCAACCCTGTAAAAAATTTGCCTGGGAAAAAGATCAAGCACACATGGTGCCTCGTATCCACCGGTTAAACTACACGCCCCCAGCCTTGCAGAAATGTGTTTGTCCCCTAGTCCGAAAATTTTGTGGCTCGGGCCTAGCGGACCACAATGGCTGGTGGCGCCAGCCAAAAAGAAAAAGGTGTGGCGCTGGCTGTTCGGAAAAGCTTGGCACACAGTGCAGCGCCGCCTCTAGGCCCGAGTGTATTCGTGGTTCAAGTGTGTTTCCATGCTTTTGGGTTCGTGTAGCACGAGGTCCGGTCTGTCCCTCCTTCTAGGCTTACACTTAGGTCATAGTTTATTTGTGCAGGAGAGTCCAAACACGTTTTTGCAGGCAGAGATGGTTGGTAGGTAGGTTGTTCAGAATAGACAGCATGGACAGATGGACTGAGGGACATAGACTGACAGAGGGGCAGAGGAGGCGGGAAGGCAGTCAGATGGAGGGATATCTAGGTTTGTGGTATTGGGATGAACGGATTCAAAAATAGATGTGTGGATCGGCGGTGAATGGGTAAACGTATGGGCGTCTTAGTTGGCAAACCGTAAGCTCGGACAAAATAGGACAAAATATGAGCAGTTGGGAAAAAATAAGATCAGATAGGATGTGATGTGACGTATATAGATCTTCTCATCCATCCCAAACCCTCGATTGTTATCCTTTACCGTATGTGGGAGTTACAGGTTAGAGACAGGGTACAGGGGGGAGCACTGAGGTAAGACCTGAACTTGGACGCCTGACGTCTGCACTGAGGTACGACCTGAACTTGGACGTCTCTTTTTTCTTGAAACACATATGTGTTAGTTTCATGGTTATGCCGTACGCGGACACCTGACCAGTCCAGATGTCCAGCCAGACCTGTGTCCCGACTGCTCCAGACCGTCTGGATTGAAAACCCCTCTTTTCTTTATTAAAAATAAAAACGTTTTCAAATTTTCCCTTGGATTTCGCTACGAATTCCGATATGGCTATCAGTCAAAATTGCAATGCTGCATAGCTTTTTTTTTTCTCTGATTTTTTTAATTTTTTTAAAGTTGGATTTTTTTGGGGGGTGGGAGTGGGGGGATGGATCCGGACCCTCTGGACCGGACAGCAGACCTGGACATCCAGACCAAGACCGTCTGCACTGCAGTCCAGACGTCCGAATCCTAACATGGTTAGCTTCCACCAGGGTTGTCACCCCCCGGCACCCGGGGAAGAGGGGGTGAAAAACAATGGTAAAAATAAATAAATAAATAAATAAAAACATGGCGGGGTTCGCAGCAGCGCCGCGCTTTGTTTGAGCCTATGTTCGTTTTTGCATTTCAGGGGTGTCTGGGGGTCTGGCGAGGCTGGGCCCCAGACATGCCTGGGTTGGTAGGTGGCAGAGGCAGGGGCGGGGGCGGTCGCTTATACACATCTAGATGTGTATAAGAGAGTTTGAGCCTATGTTCGTTTTTGCATTTCAGGGGTGTCTGGGGGTCTGGCGAGGCTGGGCCCCAGACATGCCTGGGTTGG